TAACCTTTACTTGATTTTTTTACTGTTCTCACTGTCCAGTAACATTGTATTTTTATTTGACACAATTTTCTTAAAGGTGTACTGGTTTTGCAGGGCCTGGCTTTTGGGAGCAAGTGGGCCACAAAGATGGCTCCTGTGGGAAGCTGCTGGAAGCAGCTGTGTCCAGCAGAGCCAATCCTGGAGGTGGGGCTGGCCAAGGGTGGGCCAGTGAGAGGCTGGTAGCGCCTCTGTGGTGGCATATTTAAGAAGGAAATCAAAACAAAGTCACAGGTGTTTCTGCTAGTCCAGGAAGAGGTGGGAACATGTAAGGGAAAAAACACGGTGACACCAAGGACAGTGGAGAATGAGGGAGAGGAGGTGCTCCAGGTGCCAGAGCTGAAATTCCTCTGCAGGCCCTGGTGAGACCATGGTGAAGCAGCTGTGCCCCTGCAGCCCCTGGGGATCCACGGAGGATGCAGAGATCCACCTGCAGCCCATGCTGGAGCGGGTGGATGCCTGTACGAGGCTGTGAGAGACCCACTGGAGAGAGGGCCCTGCTTCCAGGCTGGAGCAGGCTGTCCTTGGAGGACTGCACCCCGTGGAAAGAGAGCCCCATGTCACAGCAGTTTTGGGAGGACTGACTGCCTGTGGGGAGGAGTTCACATTGCAGTAGGTATGGTAGGGCAGCTACTCGTGGGAAGTGGACCCACAGGAGAAGTTCACGGAGAACTGTCTGCCGTGGGAGGGACCTCACAGGGGAAGGGCTCCTCTCCTGGAGCAGCAGAAGAAAATCTTGGTGATGAACTGACCAAACCCCCATGCCCTGTCTCCCTGCACTGTCAGTGGGAAGGAGGGAGAGGCTGGGTGAGAAAAGGCGTTTTAAGGGCTTATTTTACTTCTCATTATCCTCCTCAGATTCTGTTAGTCATAAATTCACTTTGCAACCTTAGGTTGAGCCTGTTTTGCTGTTGAAGTGGCTTTTTTTTTTTTTTCCTGATCCTTATCTCAACTCATGAAGTCTTTATTCCTCTTTTTTTTTCTCTCCTTGGCCCAGCTGTTGCAGGAAAGGGTGACAGAGCGGCTCTTGTGGGTGCCTGGTGTTGGGCCAGGGTCAAACCATGACAAAAGGATAATATAAAATGTTTTGATTTTACAGGGCCTTAATTTCCAGAAGGTTTTCTGGAAAAGAAAAAAACCCGAGGCATTTACAGCCAAGTATTTTATTTCATCCTTTATGCACTGTTGCCAGTGATAGCAAGAATGGAGTTTCATTTACATTACTATTAAATCACAATCAAATTAACTTGCTTCCTTTCAAATTGCCAAATAACTTGCACACTTGTAATAGAGAGAACTTGGTTCTTGTGTTGAATCTTGCTGTTGAAGCGGGACAACTCATTTTTCCAGTAGTACTGCAGATAGTACAGATGAAAATATTGTTAAAGTTCATATAGCAAAAACTTGAATATTAGAAATGGCATATTTAATCAAAAGCACATGTATTAAGGAAGTATATTATTTCTTATAATAATTTTCAGAGTTAATTCTTGCAGGGGGATTTGTTTACTTGATAAGCTCAATGGATGGGCATGTTCAGAGCCCTTGAAATTTCCCTTAGCTCTGATCAAATTTTAAAAGGTTTGTCTGGCTTGTTTCTCTTTATCTACAGCTGGCTAATGGATGTGCTTGTTTTCTTCCTACATCTTCTCATACAGCCTTTCTCCTAGGTGATACAGGTTTTCTCTTGCATCTTCTGTACGTTTGCATCTCATCTTGTCTTGCAGCTGCGTATGTCTTCCTCTACAGTAGCACAGAAATGAGAACTGGTATGTCAACTTTAAGATTTGCTCCTTCACTGATATTGGGATTTTTTTCCCCTTTCTTTCAGGCATCTCTGCACTATGGTTCCTGCTAGCATAAACTCCTGATAAATGACAGCAATATGTTGTCAGCGTTTTCTCCAAGGGATGGGGAAGATGACAGAAGTGCTACCTCAGAGCCTTCTCCCTATATGTTACTGAAAAGGTTTTGTGGACAACTGATATTCTTTTCATGATAATTCAGGACTGGATCTGAGATTACATATTCTGTCTTGAATACATTTGTTTGAATGTATTTTTAATTGTTTCAAAAAATAGGTTGGTAGTAAGTGGAAAGAAAATAATAAAGTCTTTGTAGTGCATTTGGAGATGAAACCAAATTAAGAGAGCATAAAATTGCACATGGGATACTTTGCTTATATCTTTGGTATGCACGAACTCCTACTCATCACTCTTGTAACTTTGAGACCTGGCCCTTTACAAAATGTGCCACACAGCTGTGATGTGTAGATGTGCACACATCACATGCCTTACACATTCCTTTAGTACTAAAATGTGCTAAAATCAACCATAACTCTGGCATCGGTGAAAACCTTATAGAGGCCTGTCAAAAGTTGTGCTATTTGTAGTCTATGGTGCCATAGGCTCTCTCACAGGTAAACATAATAACTCACTCATCATGTTTCAAGTGTTTTGATATATTGGCTTATTCATTTAGAAGTGTCACTTCAAGATTATGGCAGCTGTGGAATAATTTGGTGCACGTGCATCTGCCAGCACAGGCATGCTGGTCAGGATCCCCATCTCTTGCTATTGTGTAACCAACGATGTGAGCTGAAATCTGTACCACTGATAGGTCTTTAGCCTGATCTGATTGAACCCTGAGATTTTTATCCTTCAGTTTTGAAGAATTTTATAGTAAATAGAAATGTTGTTCTGTCACATTCTAGGGAAAAGTAATTTTCATTGATTTCATTACTTAATTTCATTAGCCAGGGCTAGTTAAATCCTAATTGTAGTTATTGACCCCAGGTGTATGAAGAAATGGGTCCCAGTGATTGGCTATATTACTAACAAACAGAGATCACTCACAGTCTAGAACTGTTCTGAATTTGACTTGAAGTTATGCTGTAAATTGCTCTCTAAAATGTTACTGTTATTGGGTTTTTGATGTTCTGACTTATAAGACTTGATTGAGAAATATAAATATTCACAGGTTTCACCACACTCAACACAGACAACCCTTTGTTGGATAGTCTTTTGATGCTACTGTAATAAATAGAATCATTAATGAGGACAAATGTCAGCATCTGTGCTCAGTCCTTCTTGTCTCCATAAAACTGATAGAAGACTAGTGTGCTCTTTTTCTGGTTGCTTTATCAATAGCAGATGCAAGTAACTGAAATCACTTCTGAGAAGCATGTAAAAGTACTGATGTTTTGTGACCCTTAATGTGTATAATCTGATTTTTTTTTAAAAAAAAAAACCAGCCTCTTAGCTATCATCACTTCCCTCAATAAAGTGTGCAGCCTGCATTTCCATGTGCGAGTGGCCATTTTGCTGTAGAATTAGCCACCCAGGGCTAGATATGCACATTGCTGGGCATGGCTAGAGTTTGCTTGACACTTTTTGAAGTGTTCGTATCTGCCTGTCTGCTTTAGAAGAATTGTTCTAGGGCGTTAGTCTTTTATTAGGGTGAAGAAGTGACCTTTCCAACATTTTAATGTATCTCTCTCCTTTTACACTCCTTGGTTGATAAGGGAAGTATCTTTGTGCTTTGCACTCGGTTTTATCTTTCAAGTTTTTGGAGACTTCTTTTTCTGCCCTACTCTTTGCAAGGAAGTAAGAAGTGTGACAGAAAGGTGTGATTTTTAATTTACACCAGAGTTCTCAACAAATAATGACTTTTCACACCCTGTTCTTGTTGCTTAGCCTGGGGGAGGAGTTGTATGGCTACTGTTGTCATATCAAATTAAACCCACTCATGTAATTCAGAAAGGCATTCCCCTTAAACTTAACCCTTCTAAGCTGCTGAAGTCGACAGGCATAAGAGTGTAGGCTGAAGTGTATGTCTTTTGGAGGGTCTCTGCTGCTGAAGGATGAAAATGGAAATATTTTTTTATTCAAGGAAGTTTTTTCTTTTTTTTTTTCCCCCCTTTTCATTTGAGCACAGACGTTGATGAGGTTTGTGAGGGTGAATCCTCATGTTAGCCTGGAGTTTGCTGCAGGCTCAGGGTATGGAAGGAAATGTTTGACCAACACTCATATACTTGTCTGAAAAACTGTCTCCAATAGTGTTGTTTTGTTGTGGATTGCGAGCATGATCATGGAGCACTTGGTGCTCCTTTAGTTAGTGGGGCTAAAACACAATAATTACAAAATTCCCTCAGAGAGAGTTTGCCGCTGCTGGGAAGTTTGCGGTGTGGAACGAGATGTGCTTTTACAAGTAATCTTCCTCCGGGGAGGTCGCTGGTGGTTTTGGGTGTGTTGGCCCCCCTCGTCAGCAGAGTGAGTCCTTCAGGCAGGGGGCACACGGTATGTGCAGGATTCATCCAGAGGGTGGATGCGCCCGTCCCGGCTGCCGCAGAGACTCTGCCTTCCCGGGGCGCCTGCTGCATCCTCCCAGGTACCACTGGAGCCTGGAGAAAGGAGCCAGCAAATAACAGCAGGAGCAGTCTCCTCGCTTTCACCTTTCTTGTCCCTAGCTGTTGGTAATTCAGGGTTAAGTATTTGCTGGGTACCTGCTCTGCCAGGCGGCGCAGAGAGGGTTAAGGTGCTTGATTGACTGTAAGCATGGATGTGACAGACTCTTATCTGGTGGTGGGGTGGTTTGGTGTTTTTTTTTTTTCCTTCTGTAAAATGTCAACCATTTCCTGATGAGCCTGATGGTGGTGATGAATTTCACACCTTTTTCTTCTCTGTGTGGAAACCTGGGTGTTAATGGTACCGGAGCAGGTCTTGTTTTATAAGGAATGAGGCTGCCTCAGAACAGAGGGAAGCCAGAGACAGGAAAGGAGGTGAGGAAAGGGATCCAAGAAAACCGTCACTTACAACAGGCATTAGCTGGATTATTTTGCACTATTTTTATTCAGAGCATGTAGATATGTTATTTGCTAAGTGCATTTTTTGCTATGAAATGTTGGAGTTTGGCTTAGAGCTCAGCACAAAAATAATCCCGTTTTCATTTCAGAGGGAAATTTAGCATTGAAACAACTGAAGATGGAAAGTTGGTCAGTTGAGCAAGTCTGCAACTGGTTGAAACAGAGAAATTTAGGAGAACTAGTTCCTAAGTTCCGTGGTAAGCATTTTTATTGTTTGGGGGGGTGGTGCTGTTTGCTTAGTATATCTTGCTATGCATTTTATTGGCACTGCCTACCTTGTTTTGGTTTGGGGCATGTGTGTATATGCTAACCTCAGACTTTTATAGAAATTTATTAGGGTGAGAACTGACATAGATTTGATAAATCAACATAAGTGTACAGATTTGTTACGAAGTCTGAGAAATCCTGGGGGATGAGATTAAGCCTGTATATGAATAGACCCACCTCAAATCAGAGCTGGCAGTTTAGAAGTCCTAAAAGGGCCTATTTTATGTTGTAGAAATCTTTTGAAATAATGCAAATGTAGTGTGTAAATGTTTTATGTCTCTACAGAAGAGTGCACAAGAAACTGTAATGTGAACAGCCTATTTCTTGTGTACTCTGTTAAAAAGCTTTATTTCCTTCATCAGCAAGTAAGAGTCTCCTGTGATTCAAGCAAGGCCTGATTTAAAGCATTAAAATTGTCACCTCTGCTTCTGTGTGTTTCAGACTTGGCTCTATGTCAGGGGAAGATACCTGGCCAGTGATTAGGACTCCTGGCACTGCTTGGGAAAGGATGGTGGCAGCTGAAGATGACTGTCAGCAGTGCAAAGCATCCTTCCCTTTGACCCATCTTCCGTCATCATGTTTTTAGGCATAGAGAATGTAACTATAATTATAAAGCTATTTTACAGTAATGATTTTATCCCCTTCAATCTGCAGAAGAAGAAATAAGTGGAGCAGCTCTTCTGGCTCTTAATGATCGTATGGTGCAGCAGCTGGTGAAGAAGATTGGGCACCAGGCAGTGCTGATGGACCTGATTAAAAAATACCAGCAACAGAAGAGTGGGCTAGAATCCCTTACATACTGTTGTGAAACAGCTTCTCAAAAATTTCCAGAAGTAATCAGTGGGTGAGTTTGTTCATGGCACAGCAAATATCAGTCTGGGTATAGTTGTGTTCTTGTCATGGCATTTTAAAACCGGAATTTACTAGCTCTTCTTCATTTGTACCTGGTTTTTATATTTTGACTATCTGTAGCAAGTGCGAAATGTAAAATCAGGTTCTTACCTTGTGGTTTTAAACAGGGCATCAACATTCCTGAATCACGCCATTAGTTAATTTAAACTTCCTTTGTATCCAGTTCTAGGACCTAGTTTTCACTTGGATGAAGCACTGTCAAACTTTCATTACAGCTAAGGTTTTCTCTGTTTACTATATTAAGCTTTTGAAGAACTTACTTTTAAATGCTTGCAAGTCTTGGAGTAAAATAATGATTTAACCAGAGATATTTGTCACAGGTGTATTGAAAGTCAGTTTATCAAAGGAAACTCTGGATTTGGTCCAGATATAAACATTTAATAATCCCACTGTGGGATTATTGAAATTTATTGTGAAACTAGATAGATTTTTAGAAAACAGATTCCAGATTGTCATAAATCATTATGTTCTGGCTCTTGGTGGAACAGGTTTTCTTTTTCTGTTTTGGGTTTCTTAGGGGCAGGAGAAGGGGGCAGAATTTGTGGGGTGTTTTCCTTGGGGCTATTTGCATGAGGGGTTTGTTGATTATCCCATCCTTTACCTCCATTCTAATCTATTGTAAGTCTTTCAGGGTTATGTTTTTCTGAATATCTTGGCTGAGGAGAGAGATCCTGACCTCTAAGTGGTCCCTTTAAAACCCAAGAATCCTGGCTGTAGACAGAAGCTTGCCAGAGATCCAAAATGCATTTCTTTTCGAAAGAAAGGACTCTAGCACTAAGGCTGCATTAGTCACAGTAGGATTAATCCCAGAGGATTAGAACTGCAGAGCATTTGCCTTCATCCAAAAGGAGTCCAGGTTGTGCACTCTGAGGTGATTAACAGCCCAAACAAAAGCGTGATAACTGAGTTACTTCCAAACAATTCGAGCTCACGAGCAGAACTAAACTGCACAGGGAGATACATCCTCTTGTCCTTGTGGAAGTATTTGTGAAACTCCTGAGGTAAATGCTCCTGCACCATTGGAGAGAAGGGGATTGCAGGAAGAAGACCAAATCACTGCATGTAAGATTTATCACAGGTCTGAAGTATGCAATCACAGCCAATCTCAGTTCTCTGCACCAAGGGCCTGCCTATCTGATTTATAGGAAGCTGCTTCCTTAGGGGTAGAGGTGTCTGCTGTGAAGAAGGCTACTGTGTGTGTTGTACTTCATCCAAAGTGTGCTGGATATACCATGATTTCAACAGGGGGTTCAGAAGAAGACCTGTCCTTGTGTTTAGGGCAGTTAGAATGTTGCTTTGGATATTTAGCTTTCTGACTTTGTCAGGGGTGTTTGGATAGATTGTCTCAGGTGTGACTGTTTCCCATGTGCTTCTCAGCTCTTGCAGGTCAAGTCATGCTGTCCCGTAAAGAGCACACAGTTGCAGTAGCACAAGTGCAGCAGTTTTGCTGTGAAATTCTGCAGACTCCAAAAAAATCTTAAATGCTTAAAATATCAAATGTTAGTGAATATGATTTACATTAAAATCTTTCTCTACCTCGTCTCCTTCCTGGAAAATAAGCTGCTGGTATCCTTCTCTTTACAGGGAAGTTGAGTAAATAAACTGCTGTTCCTGAAATATTTTTTGTGTCAGCAAGAAAGACAGAATAAAATCCAAGCAAGTTTAAGATGCATTCAGTCATGTATTTTAGGATGAGTAAAAAGTCAATATATTCTGTGCATTTGTGGAAAAGCACCTATAGTGAAAAGAATATTTTGTTACAAAACTTAAAGTTGTATCCTTACATGCAGATAGCTGTGGCTCTTTTCTTAACACTGCAGTGCTTTTCTTGGTGACATAGTTCAAAATTTTTTTTGTCTGTTTGGTATATCTTGAACGAAATCCTATAAGAATAATTTCTTTTGATCTAGTTCAAGGACTCATGACTTAAGTGTATGAGACACTGTTTTGAACAAATGTAATTCATAGTTCTGATAGTTCACAGTATATGTGAACTCACATTTCCTCCATTGCTCCCTGATGTTAGGCTGAATTGCAGTGAGTAGAGAAACCATGTTAAGGTTTGCAGTTAGCAACATCTACAGCTGGGTGTGTGGTCCCCCTGTGGTGCCAGAGAACAATGGTGAAATCTGAGTTTACATGCTCCTGGCTCCTATCATGCAGTGCTTGAGCCCAGGTGAAAGCCAACCATCTTTTCTGTTTTGCAGAATTATTTCTCAGTCAGGTCAGTTCCCAGAACTTGCTCGCCCTGCCAGGACCAGTGACAGGGTGGAAAGGGCATTGCTTAGGTCAGGAAAGAAAGGATCATCATCACAGCCTCTTTTTGGGTCAGCTGAAGTCACTGTGGAGCTTCCTAGAGCTATCAGCAGCATTTCCCTGTTGTATTTCTCATTCAAATGCTATCCCCATTGCTTTTTGGTGCGCTCCTGGCTGCCACCTCTTTATCCTGCTGTCCTTGGCTCATCCTGTGACTGTGTGTGAATTGTGCTGACCTCTCCTCCCTAACAGAAACAAAGTCCTTGGCTGGACATGGAATTTGGAGTGCAATAGGTGAACACTTTCTGTGTGGAAGAAATAGATTTGGCTAATTAGAATGTGGCTTACATCTCCAGCAGTTTGGGTTAGGACATGGAAATAGCATCTTGTGACTGTGACTGGTTCAGTGGAGCTGCTCACAGTCACACAGTAGAAACTGCTGATGTGTGTATGAGGAGCTCACACATAGACATTACCAGAAAAATATTAAGTTGCTTTCCACTTTCACAATCAATTGTTTCTAAGAGCCACACAGAGAATATACTAAGGGTTTTTTTTTTTTTGTTGTTGCTTTGTTTAACTGCATGGCTGAAATATATTATTTAATGTAAAGGGAGAACTCCCCTTATAAATATGACAAATTTTAATGTCATTTCCAATAACAACCTTTTGTGTGTTGAGTGCAGCTGAGGCTGGAACAGTTTCTAGAGCATCTTTAGAGTTCAGGTGTTCTGAAGAGATGAGGTCAGGAAAAAAAAGTGGTTTATGATTGCCATGAATTCTTGGCAGCATAACAGTATCCCCTATCTTAGCTCTGCCTTTCCCCCAGAACGGGGTAGAACTGCTGATGGTGGCTTCCACCAACACATCTACCAAAACAAGAATATGAGGAGGGAGAGAAGTGGACACAAAGGTCAGATGGAAAGTAGTGGACTGGCTCATAGCAAAGTGGGTATCTAGAGTTTTTGTTGCTAGTGATGAGCTGGAGCAAATGGCCAGGAACAGTGGACTGTAAGATCAGGAAGCATTTGGAGATCTTCTAGAGTGGCTGGAATAATGCAAAACTGACTTGAAGCTTTTGACTTACCCTCCAGAAAAAAACAACTTTTCAAGATTCTCGTTAAATAGAAATGTATTGAAATGCTGTGTAATTAGCTCTTTCTGCCCACCCCTTACGTGTTGCAGTGGTTAGTTTTTCCCAGAAATTTGAGAATGCAAGTTTATGAAGATGGATGTTACCCTGCAACTCTGAGAAGGCTGATTTTCTTGGGATCTGTAACTGTGTAGTAATTAGAATATAAGCAGGCAGAACTTTCTACATTTTTCCTTATAATTTGTCAGAGTTTGATAATTGAACTGAGAAATTAAGAGAAATGAGCATGTAAAACCATGACATATTTGATATGTTGATTTTTCTCCTTTTCTCTTTCTGCCACTGGTATTTTAGAACCCTGAACATCCTCTTTTCTATAAGCTGCACAAGACCTGAGAGTGATTTTTGTTCTTTTTTTCTTTCAGGGCTACTGACAGACAGATGTTAAATTCTTCTGATCCTGTGGAGCAGAAGTATCTGTGTTCAGCTGAAAACAAAAAAGGACTAATTGATCATAGAGTGCTAAAGCAAAAGTAAGTTTATAATATATTCATTAAATTTTCCTTACCTTTTGAAAATTACATAAACACTTCATCTTGCTTCATTTATACTTTACAAAAAATAATCTTAATTACTGAAGATCAGGTTCAGGTATATCCAGGTGTGTATTTAGAAAACAACAAGAACAGAAATTTGTTTGACTGAATGAAATAGCCTGATGGTGTGATTCCATCCTCAGTCCTTGCTTACTGTTTCATGTTACCTCATGCAGAGGGCAAGATACAGGTTTGTCTTTATTTATCTGATTTTTAAAAATCATATTTTACAGAGGTGTTTTGAACAGCAATCTGACAAATTAGTCATCACACAGTGGAATACAGCTATTCAATAAATTGTGTGCTTGAGGCATTTTAAATATAGCACTTGAGAAGGTAGGCATGCTGATTCCATTTGCTCACTCATTTTCCTTGGTTATCAAAATAAGACTGCCTAGAAACTGGAGGCAAGACAATGTGATGTGGTTTTTTTTCTTTTTTTTTTCCTACCCATTATTTTCTTCTTTGAGATGGGCAGTCACTGTTGAAAGAGAGCACTGTTCCTCTTTCAAGGCAATTATTTTTGTGTTTCCAAAGGTTTGTGTGCTTATCATTATCCCCCTTTATTTCCACCTGCTACAACTTCTCCCCCAGCCGTTCTCCCCCACAGATATGATTTAATGCTTTTAAAAGTCCTGGTACTTCTGTTTTTAAAAGAACATTCCAAAAACTCCAAAGGTCCTGTCAGCATTGTTATCAAAGAAACAAACCCAAATCAGTTTTACTCTTGGAATAAATCACTAATATGATCCTGCAATATTTAGCCTGTGCTTCTAAAGGATGCTTATTTTTAATTAATTTGCCTTTTGTGGTATAAAGAGTTTTAAATGGGTTGTGTAAATCAGAGTAACCGTTGCACAATGCACAGTTTAAATTATTGTTACTTGGCCAGGATTATACTTACAGCCTCTGTCTCCTCATTCATTTCATCCAATCTGAAAAGAAAAACTTAAAATTTTTGGTTGTTTTTTTGTTTGTGTTTGTTTTAATTTGTCTGTGGTGTTGGGTTTTTTTTTTTTGGCTTTGGTTTTGTTTTCCCAGAAGATTCACGAAGCCACAGCTTCAGTAACTGTATGATTTTGCTGGAAGTGAATTAGTGGATGCTTTTATGGCTTATTAATGCTAGTCCTAACAATTGTACACTCTTCTATATTACTAAATATTACCAAAATATAAAAAAAAATTCTTTAAACACAAAAATAAAGACTAAGTGGATGAAGCAATTGTATAATTTGTTTTCTTGTATTGAAATTGGGCATACATAAAACGGGATGAGGTTTGCAACCTACTGCAATGGAATAATGCTTTTACACAATGATAGAAGTAAAACCAGCCCATCTTTCTGTTAATCTCCCAAGAAGATTAATCTTGAAGCAGTGCCTGTCAGTGAAGACAGTAAGATAGACACAGAAGACAATTCAATAAGTACATTTCCCATAGTCCTGCTTTTCTGTACTGGAGTACTAGCAGTTTTATGGCTCCTGACAGCCTGGGGTTTATCTTGTTGCTAAGACAGAGGCTTTTATTATTTGTAAATACCTGATACTGCTGTGGAAAACCAACCTTTTATTGGTTGGTTTATATGTTGTCTGCCTTTCCTCAACATATTTGCTTAGGAAAATGACATCCCTAATGTATCCCTTTTCCACTGTTTCCACTATGATGGTCCAGCTGTTTTCCCTCAAGAGTAATGTCCTGGAACATGTTTATTTGTACATTTATTTTTTCTATAAAAACATGTTCTGTAGCTCTTGAGTGCTGTGTAACAGGTTTACTGTCTCAATGCCTTGGAGTCATTTGCTCAGAGCACAAGCAGGATAACAGATCTTCCAGCCAGCCTCAACAGGTTTGACCTTCCCTATTTACTGTGAGTTTGGAAGATGTGGTGAGTGCTCAGCTAAACCTGGGCCTGCTAAGTGTTCATATACCGATAAAGCTGTTTCCAGCATTGACAGAGTATTGGTGCTGGTGCCAGCATAAATTTGAGCTGACAGCAGAGACAACAAACTGGAAGATTTGCAATTACCTTTACCTTTGCCCTTACAAATTTAGCATCCATCTCTAAGATGGCCATGATGGCCTGCATGGATCATTCATTTCCTTTTTAATGTATAGCTTAAGAGTTTCTTAATTTCTAAGCAAAGAACTTATTCTTGATATTATCACATATACTGGAAATAATTCTGATGATCTTTTTTTCAGTTATCTCATAAGGACATGAAAAGCAGACTTCAAAAAAACCATGTTAAGTCTTTGACAGTGATCAATAGCAGGAGAGAAGTACTGCCTGTCTATTTTGTTCAGAAATACAGATGTCAGGTGCTGTTGGATTGTACTTTTAGTATAACATATCAGAAAAACAGTTTCATTTTTATGATTTCTGATAATTTCACTCCAATTGTTATTGCATCTTCATGAAACCTGTCTTGTCTGAGTTTTTGTTTGGTTTGTTCAGGGCTTGGGGGAGATGCTTTAAATTTAGGTTTTTAATGTATGTGGATACAAGAATTTCTGCCACTTTTTTTTTTTTTTTTTTTTTTGTCAGCATTTCATGTCTCTGTTATTGCAGGAGGATACTTAAGGATACTAACCTAAAAGACTTAGAAGACTTATAACAATAGCTATTGTCTGTTCTTGTTGCCTCAGTGTTTTGAAAGTCAAGACAACAGGACTCATGGTTTTGGAGCACCTCAGGTCATCAGAGCTGAATTTATTGACATGGTGCTGTGAGTCTTCCACAGAACTTTGCAGGGGAAAAAAAAAATTGCTATGTCTTCTCCACACCAGAAATGAGCAAGTCTTACAAATGACTTGCAGAAGACACTAATTGCATTGCCTTATTAAGGTCTAGCAAAGTCGTAACAGCAGCACAACAATAATTCTAAAAACCCATAAAATTCTTTAGATACAGTATAACATATCTTATAGGGTGAATACAATAAACTCTGTTTCTTTTAAATGGCTGGATTTAACTGGCAATTTTGTCAGTCAGATTCCCTAAGGAGCATTTTTTCCCCTTTCTGTAACCTACAGTTGCTGCCCTTGCATAAGGCGAAAGTGCAAAGCCTTCCCTTCTCTGATGTAGCTCCTCAGACTGTCAAAAAGCCTGGAATTCTTCTAGAAGAAGGTTGTGTCTGCATCTCGCAAACTTTTTTGGAAGCAGATTAATTTTGTCTGTAACTTTGTGGCCATATTGAACATGATGGTTTCTATAGAAGGAGTATTGCAGGGGCAGCTCAAGTGGGAGCTGCTCTGGGAAATGGGCAGCTTTGGCACATCTCACAGCTCCCATATCCCAGCCTTGTTGAAGTTAACAGTGCTGTGGGTAACTTCTTTTTCAGTCTAAAGGATACCTGTCCTTATGTTTAGTGGGAACTAAAAAATAAAAGACATCATCAAGCACTAGGTAGACTGCAAATCCCAGGCTTGAGGGAATAACTGGGAAACCTTGTATTTGTGCTCAAAAGTTGGAAATGACAAAGAAGCACTAAAAGAGAATGGCATGAGGATCATTCAGGCACAGATATCAGAACTGAGAATAGAAAAATAGAGCCCTTTTTTCTGACTATTGAGAAGAACAAAAGGTTTTTTTGATATTTCATCTTCTGTCATAATTTCTTCCTTTTGATGGAAATAGCCTTTTCAACCTTAAATGTTGTCATAAAATTGAAAGCATGTGTTAGGGAAATGGAATGGTTTTTTTTACAGCTGAAGACTTTTCCTTTCTTTCCCATCTGCAAGTTCCTTGTTTTCTCCTCTGTTTTTTCCTTGGATCTGTTGACATGGGCTTTCTTCCAGACTACAAACCTTCAGACTAGAGTCCCTTGCTGATGTGTGATGTAGACATGTGAAAGGTTAAACCTTCATTTGTGAATAATGGGAATCTGTTGAGACTTCACCTATATGCTGAGTTTTATGTGGATATACCAAAAGGGGACCAACCCATTGATGTCAGCAAATTTCTTCTTAACTGCCATGTCCTCTGACTAAATGGGATCTGAGCTGATACAAGATATAGCAATGAGTGCCTGACTCATGGACTTTGGCAGACAATAAGAAGAGCTTGTGCCACACAGCACGTTTATGTATGTGCTCAGTTGGCCTTTAAATCACATTTTCCTCTAAATGAAGTAAATAGATGCAGGAAACTGATCCTTCTTGCCAGTATGCTCAAGAAGCTTAAAAGAATTAGTTTTATTATTGTCTAGTATTTGATCTTGTTTCTAGGTCACTATGGCACTTTGCACAGCTATGCTGATTGAATTGTCTTATTGATACCAAGATTATTTTTACTGACTTGTTGCAGCTGACGCAGGTGGCTCTGTGTGTCTGTATGATATTGCACGGAACGGAACTTGGAGAGATGATGCTGCTTACTCCCCACTCTTCTCTCCAGTGTAATCTAAAATCATCACTGAATGGTCTGGGTGACACTGCAAATGTGTAACTTTGTCTTTTTTGGCAGTAAAACAAAGTATTCCCTGAGATTAGGGATGCTAGGAGTTATATAAATTCAAATAGATGGGTCTTTGAGGGCTCTTTGTGAGGTTTTTTGATGTTTGTTTTTTTTGTTTGGTTGGCTGGTTTGCTTTGAGGTATTTTTCCATCTGAAGGAGACAAATGGCTCCTCCCAAAATAAGGCTGTTTTATAGCTTCATGTCTCAGTAAACATGCTGTGCATGAGCAGAGTAAGGTTACAATGGAGACAAAGAAGGAAATAGCTGTGTGAGACAGGACTGTGACTGAGTGCATTAAAGTGGCAATCTACAAAAGCTGAGTGGTAAAAGCTCTGTGAAGAGCTGTCTCCTTGCTGAGGAGGTGCTTCTTAGGATACAGTTCCTTACAGCTAAGCATAGAGGGACCAGCTTGCTTCATCTGAATTGGTGTTTGTTTCACCTCATGAGAAGTCATTTTGGGGATCTGAACGGTGAGAAAATGAAATTAAAATAATCACTTTGTCAGTGTAGTTCCTTGTAATTTGCTGCACGATTCCTAGTACCAGGGAGAAAGGGGTGTAAGTAAGTCAGACATGTGACAGCAGAGAGAAGGGCACTGAAATTTTGCCTTAGCTAGCCATTGGATTGATTTTGCTGTAGAATCAAAAGTCTCAAGAACTGAGAGACAGGAAAAGATGTAACTTGGGATTTTGAGATTCTTATGAGATTTTTTTTTTTGCAGTTTCAAGATTTTGATCTAATTTCTGCCTCAGGTTAGCTAGAAGATGTATGACCAGAAACAGGCTACATGTATTTGTACCCAAATCTCAAAACTGTATGTGCACTGGGATTTATGTGTAGAGCCAAAACCTTCCTTGATTGTAGAGGACAGCATTACAGCTGAACTGAACTGTTCTTTTAGTTAAGCAAGTTTTCATGTGAGCATTTCTGAGGATAAAGTTTATGTGGAGTTGTCTCTTTTCAAACAAGCTTGTATTTCATTGTAAAATATTACAGCACATGTTTAAAATGACTTCCCAACAGCCATGAGTCCAGCTAAAACTAGTAAAATATTTAATCTCATGCACTGTGGAGACCAGAGGAATTTTTGGATCTTGTTTGGAGAGCAAAGAATTATTTTGTGTTAGGTAAGGTAAATGAAGAGAAGTGAAACCTAGAGTATTTTTGTTGCCATGACAAGTGTGAAGGGACTGGTGGATGGGAGAGTTGCCATGATTCCCTGATTATTAGCCATCCTAACTGCAAGAAAATTTTATTTTCTCAGGTGACTGAATGTAGTCCATCCCCAAATGGAACCTGCTATAAACCCCTCCACTTGTTGAAATGGCTTTTTGGCTTCAGTGGTGTTACCAACAAAAGGAATTTCAGTGCTGCTTAGATGAAATGTACTGTAAATTTTAAACTTCTGTCCACTTTTGAGCTATTTTGAGTGGTAGCATGTTGAAAACATTATGTAGTAACTTGCAGCCTGTGCGCTACATCGCTTCCATCAGGAAAGTTGGTGAAGGTACAGGGTGCAAACTTAAAGGCTGCAGAGCCGCTCACTGATGCTGCATCAAACATCTGCACTTTGCTTGGAGGGATTTCCAAGTGATTTCAGAATCTAAGTTGGGTTTTCTTTTCCTATTTGTATATTAATTTATCACCAAAAAAGGACCTGAATGTGTCTATATGTTGTCACTTCCTGCACAACTTTGCTTTCTTTTGAGGCTGCAAAATACAAACAGAACTTCACTGCACTTTGCATCTGCTGGTAACCATCTGTGTCCCATGAAATCTGGTGAGCTTGAAAAGACAGCAGCCCTGACCATTTTGTGCCTGTTTTGCGTGGGGGAATGGTAGTGTTGTGAGTACTTCTACTGATGTTGGGAGCAGAATACAGTACTGAAGCTATATATTTTTTTTCCTCAGCACTGCACTGCCATTCGTGGTAGGGCTGGCATTGGTGCAGTTATATCAGGGATATAAAGTTTTGATAGCCCACAAGATATGTTAAAAAATGCCAAGGTGGTGTGGCAGCATAAGCAGGTCAGAAAGGTTGATAGACCAACCTGCTCAAGATGGTATTGGGACTATAACTGGCTGTTGGGACCCACTTTTCCCTGTGTTCTTTCAGAATTAGGGTTTGGGCAGCCAGTGGTGATAACCTGACTCAGGCTCATGCCAGCTGGGGTGCGACTCCTGTAAATAGCGGTCACGGTGTTCTTGTGTTCTTGCTGGGCTACGTCTGCTTTGTTGCCATGAGCTGATGATAACTGCCTTCATCCGTTCCTTGCCTTCCCCTGTGGGAGGACAGCCTTAAATAATGTCATGTATAGTATTTTATTCAATTAATCCGTTTGTTTTACTAGAGAGGAAACATAAATGAAGACAGAAAAAGGTGTTTTGCAACAGTAGCAAGCCCCCACTGACTTCTACTTTCAGTTAGGAAGCGCCTCTTACTGTCTGCGGGTTGTAACATTCCATATTTAACATCTACTTTTTAACTCTGTGTATTGATCACTGCTTTTTTAGGTGTTCTTTATGCAGAAACAATGACAGCAGGCCTTGAATTTCTATAGCAATAACTTTACCTTGTGTTGCGTTTTCCCATGTATTTATCTTTCCCTCCTGCCTGCATTTCCATTGAAGAAAGATGTGATGGTGATGATACAATCTCTTCTTTTACAGAAAAAACCTGAAATCATTTTTTGTGAGACACAAGATGTTGCAGTGGACAAGTTCTTATGTTTTTCCAGATTTTCCTTACGATATCAAATGCATATTAGCAGAAAAAAAATGCCCTGATCACAGTACGAGAATAAGAATTATTGAATTTTTACAAGCAGACATGACAAAATACCTGGAAGGATCACTGTAAGTAAACACGATTGAATTTATTTGGGGGCATTACCTGTTGTCTGCAGACATAAATTTTCAAATGGATGTAAAACTATTCTCTAATATATTTGCTTAAATAGAAGAGGCTAAGGGCCTGACACCTACTGAAACCAATAGAAAGATTTCATGTAAGCCTTTAAGCTGTGCCCTTTTTTATTTGGAGGGCAATTAATTGCCTGAGAAATAGTCAGAAATAATTTAATCTAGATAAGTATAGACTCCAGTGTTTAATGCTGTCCAGAAAACCAAGTATTTCTTTTCTGTCTCCATCTTGTTTGCACAGGTATCCGAACAGTCAGCAGTATAACATTGTTGTCAATGCTCTGCTCCAGGCGTACCCATTCCTTGATGAAGATGGGAATGGCTTTGTAAGTATTGTGGGCTTTTCCCACATAATCAATCGCAAGAAAATAATCTAGTTCAGAGGAAATCAATATCAATGTCTTATATGCTGGCTCTATTCAGAGCACACACACTTGGCTGTGTTTGGCAAATCACATTTTTATTTCATTATGTCAATTAAAGATTAATGCAGGTATAGCTGTACCTCAAAGCTACCATGAGACGATGCAGACCTGTCTGTAGATGAAACCCTTGGTTGCTTGTTGGCTGTATTTTCTTTCTGGGCTGATTTCTGCCTAGGGATAAAATTAAATCTGATTTTTTTTCTATTTTTAAAACCAAAGAAGCCAACTCTTTAGAAAATTGTCTGCATGAGGACTAACATGTTACCAATGCTCTTGCAATGTATTATGATTGTTTGTGTGTTAGATATGAAATTACAACATGCAGTAATACTAGTGGTTTAAGGAATCTAGGTCAAATTTAAAAAAAAAAAATTAAAAACAAATTTTGGAATATCATTGAGGGAAATAGCAGAAAGCAGTGGAAGGAGATGATTTCAATTTGAACTATATTTTTTTACTTGTGAACCAGAATGTCTGTCTGTGGTCTTGGAGGGCAGTGGTCACCTTTTCACTTCACATCATTGCTTTGCAATGTGATACTTTTATACCATCTTGTAAAAGCTTGTGAGCCTCAGTGGGGACTGTTAGCTTTTATATATATATAATATATATCTAACATCTTACTGTAGAAAGCAAAATAATTTTGGGAATAAAAAAAAAAAAGTTGAGGCTTAAGGGTAACTATTCTAGTTTTCCCCTGAGCCCAGGCATTGTTGAAGGGAAGGGACTAAAGAAAACAAACGCATCTCAAAGAGAAGAGAGGGAGCAAAAGGACAAGAGAGAAACAGCCTGTCCTCATTTTTAATCAGGATACCTCTCTGAATATCCCAGTGGTGGTCCTTGGGCAGAGTCCTGAGTAATGCTGTGGCATCATCTGGCTCCCTCTGTGACAAGGAGCTGGAATGATATTCAGCTTGTTCTGAAGACAATTTTACAGCCCTTAACTTTTAAAAACTGTTTTTAAACAGAGATTCTTAAGCTAGGTTTTCAAAGGGCTTTAATTGCAGAAGGACCATAGGCTGTGTGAAACTACTTATAACTCTGTTCTTTGGGAAATAGTTATTACTTACCACATGGATTGCAGAATTGATGCTGGCAGAAGTTATGTGAGAGATTTCAGAGTGGTTGTTCTTTACCTTTTAATCTTTCCTCCCTTTCTTACTAGAAAGCATTCTGGCAGTAGCTGCATATAAGTAAGCAGGAAGCTGGAATTAGCGGTTTGCAATATTGCTAGTCTTCCACTTTCTGATCCAGCCCCTCTCCATTGCCTGTGTTGAGAGAGGAAAAACTGCACAAAAGGTGCATACCTGCATTCTTAAGTTTGGAGGAGAGTGTGAGAATGAATTAGTATTTTTTATTTGGCCTACTGTTAGACATTCTGTTCTTCTTTCTTGATCATAAACACTATAAATACATATTTTTTCTTGATCTGAGACAGTTGTGTGTTACAACAGTAACAGCTCAAAACAAACCCTGCAATACATACGTAACTACTTATCACAAGACTTGCAGTAAAATTGAATTGAATATACCTTTAAGAAGCAAATGAACAGCAAAAAAAAAATGACAACAAACAATCTTTCTTTTTTTTCCTTGGAAGGATCTTCAGCAATTAAAAAAAAAAAAAGCAATATTTTTGTAGACTTTTCTTTTAAAACTCTTCCAGCTATTAAGGGACTATAAAAAATGTAAGATGTAAAATATTGATTACTGAGAGGTTTTGAAGATCTTTAATTTTTTTATCTATAGTAATTGAACAGTTGTTGTTATTATTACAGTTTTTAAAATAATACTTTGAAAACATTTAAGAAATCAACCATCAATAAAATTTAGAGGAAAAGGGGACTGATAGATAAATGTAAAAAAGGAAAACTAGCACGAGAGTAATATTTCAAGCAAAAAATGCTAGTTACATTATTTAAGTAGCATTTATACATAAACTTCTGGGGATGCAGTTCATATAATGTGGTTTTGGTGTCAACATTTGGAAGGGAGGAATAACCACCCCCTTTTTGTGTCTTGTAAGGCTGGAGAATGGGAGACACCAAACATGGCAATTCAGCTGGGCTGGCCTCTGAGAATAATGGTTTCCAGTAATGGTAGTGCAATAAAGTTATTGGGGACTATTTAGAATACCAACAACTGTTTTCAGTTATTGGACTATTTTTCCTACAACTTTGAAAAGAAATTATAACTTGTTGTTATTATAACTTGTTGCATTTAGAAACCAAAAGGGCTGGCTGCAGTTTGGAGTACGAAGTTTTGTGTTCCCTGTGGTGTGCTGGAGCTCACTTCTGCTGTTGAGTGTTATCCTTTCTGCCATGTAAAATGCTCTATACCACTGTATTGTTAATGACATTCATTTCCTGCTTGCTATGTATTGCTGTGCTATGTCTCAGTTCCTAGATTCATTTTAACTCTAAAGTTATGCTTAAAAGGAAAGCAGTTTCTCAGCCTCTGGTGTGGAGGAGAAGCCACAGCATTTGCTGGGCTCTGCAGAAGGCTGCGGTAGTTCTTAAAGAGATGTCCTGAGAAGGTCTGCCAGTGGTGGGTGTGATTTTAACTTTAACTCACAAGTCTTGCAGTTTAAAGCCCTTCAGCAGAAATGGATGTGTGTTGGCTGCTGGAAGGGTGCAGCAGAAACTCTGGGCTCCTCCCTGGCCAGTGTGCATGCCTGTGTGCCTGGGCAGGGGCAGGCAGCTGGGCTTCCTGGATGAGGAAAGGGAAAACTCATCTCGTGAGGGATTTTGGGATTCCAGAATTAACATTTTCTTCTGGCCAAGCGCAGAAAATCAGAATGTAAGAAACTTGATGTTATTGATGTGCATGAATGGAGAAGCTTTGAACTGTAAATGTCAGCACTTTTATTGCAACATTTTTGCAGAAATGAAGTGAAATGAGCAAGTGGAAAAGGGTAAGATTTCTGGCAAACATAGAGGAATAACAACAAAAACCAAACATAAGAGCACCTAAGTTACCACCAGAATTTTCATGACAGGAAAAAAAATTACTTGCAAAACTTTGAAAATTCCTTTTTTTTTTTTTTTTTTTTTTTTTTTTCGGGGGGTTTTTTTGGGGGGTTTTTTTTTCCAAAATACTGGAGTTTTGTTTTCCAAAATACTTATTTACACCTCCAAATTATTTTAAACAAATAATTTAAACAATGTGTGTGTTATGTAGAACTATAGTCTAATATTTTCAATCTCATATTGTTGCAGTGAGAGGTCATTAAAAGTTTGTGGTTTCAAGATTTATTAGTGGGTTATTCACAATTCTGTTGTCTTGGTTAAAATTTTTCCCATTTAATTTTGCAGAGTGAGAAATATGCTTCTGTGTCATCAGTCCTTTTCCAAAGGATATCTCATTCAATGTATTCAGGACAATGATTATGACCATAAATTTATTTGCAAATAAAGTAATGAATAAGCCACTTATGTACTATTAAAAGAATGTTATTTTTGAAGTCAGTCTAGAAGCAGGGATTAAGAATTATCTAACATTCTAAGTAATGATTTAGAAAAAAAATTTCTACTAATAGTAAAACTCGTTTAAGAAGTGGGGTACCTGGAATGAAATTAATCCCAAGATTAACTTTCGATAAGAGTGCTTTAAAGTGACTTGATAAGGGAACTTTCCCATGGCATTTCCTTCTTCTTACAGAACAATGCTATCCTAAACTAACATATGATATTTTAAAAAAACCCATTATTTAATCATGGAACAGTTTGTTCCATGGAATAGTTCATTAGATCTGTGATGTATATTGTAACCAGTACAGCATTTATAAGTCACAGACAAATAGCTTGTATAGAAAAAGTGAAGGTCATAAACACAGCAGTCAAAAGCAAATTGGCCTGACACTGTTTCTTGACAACTTGCAGGATGTTCTACCTGTCTATGCTTGTCCATTTTACAAGGCTTAAACCCGACAATTTGGAAAGAATAATTTCCCTTATTCCATTTCATTTCAGCCAACCTTTTGAAAATCATATGGTTCCAAGAAAACATGACACAAGGAAGGGAGAGACAGGGCTCTCTGCTCCACACCACTTGCCCTTTTGGGAAGGCTTTGCATAAGCAGCTCCCTTGAGCTCGTGGCTGCCTGTGAGTGGTGCCTGTGAAACCCAGGATGTTGGCATGACTGATTTATGTAACTGCTGCACGCAAAGTGATGATTTGCTAGTAAATTACTGATTTTAATCTGTGTGTAATCCTTTCCCTCCTATGTCAGATAGACACAGGCTAATCCTCCTACTCCTTTACCAGGAAGGTAAACGTTCCCAGGGTGGTGTTTGGGGGAAGCTGGGGAGAGCAGGAAAACTATAAGAAAATGAAATTGTTGGTTCAAAAATGGTAACAGAAGCTTCCTTTTTAGAGCACGCATTACCCACAAGGGAAATCACATAAATGTATGTGCCTGCAGTCTCATTCTGGAAATAGTATGTGAGAGGGGACTTGTCTAAGTTTATGACAATCCTATTATAGAAATAGGTTTAATTAAAATCCTTAATTTGTTGGGGGGACTGGAGAATGAAACAGCTGAAAGTTTTGAACTTTGTGGGATATTTAAAGCCTTGTATAGGTGTCAGCATATTCTTTCATGTGAAAGAATAAGCAAAAATATCTTCTAGCCAAACAAAGATTTTAAAAAGAAAGTAAGTATGTGAAGATGCTGAAATTATCAGCTGCTAATATATTCTGGGGTGATCATGTTTTAAAATATTATAACATCTGTTAGACACTTCAAAGAAGCATTAAACTAAGGTTTTTCTTTGCTTTTCTTAGCAGCCTTAAAATAGCAAGTTAGGCATAAATTTTGCTAGGCTTATAATGATGAGGTATTTGCATCAAAATGCATAAGGTCAGAACTATAAATGTATTTAGGAACTTTAATGATTCAGGTGAACAACAAGTGGGATTTTCAAGGCATGTAGTCACCTTACTGCTTCTGAAAATGGTGCTGAGGTGTAATACTCATCTTGAGGCAGTGACTGTGCCTTGTGAGAAGACTGGGTGAGCAGCTGTACTCTATTTTTGGTCATTATCTTTTCATTAGTGCTGATGTGACTTCTGTTCTGACAGAACCCTAGGCCTGAAGTTTGCATACTAGAAATGCAGATGGACTTGCTTGCTTTCCAGTTCTTGGGTGATGAACTGTGACTGGCTGTGAAAAGATACTTTGGTAAGGGCACATCGGTGAGTGGCAGAGAGTGTCTCCCTGGGAAGGGCACTCCTGCCCTGGTAGGCCCAGGGCTGCTCAAGAAGAGCTGAAGTAGAGACCACAGTGGCTGTAGTCTTATAGCTCTTCCATTCTAATTTTTCACCATTTATGGAGGTCTTGCTTTTAGGATTGAGGGCCTGTAGGTCAGCTAGAACCTGGGGAGTGGGAACAATAGGCTTGGCAGCAGAAATGCAAGGTCACGCTGCCTTCACCACCATCTCTTGAGAAACCCTCTCATCTGTATCCTGTGAGTGAGAAAGGCAAGCATGTCTGACTGGCTGCAAAGAGAGATACTGTACTGCTTAGTCTACTTCTACTGAAATCTGGTTTACACCAAGTTAACCTTACATATCATGTGACCTTGACTAATAAATGACACCATTTTGGTAAGAAATTTAGGGTAATCATTCTTCTGTTTATATAGTGTTTTAGCATGTCAGTGGGTACAGGCTTGAGTATAGTATTAAGTGAGGGTAATATTGGAGTCAGTTTTAGAAAATAAAGTATCAGATATTTGAATCTCTCCACATCCTTTCATTTGCAGTCACTTTTCCGACTGATTTTTTTCCCTCTGACTCTTGAATACTCCCCAGTAACTGGAATATGCAAGTGATTTTGAGTAATGACAAAATAACTGCAGGTTGTGCCTGCAGATGTGTTGAACTTTCCTTAGAAATTGCTTCCCAGGGTGTCAATGGCACAGCATGGCTAGCTCCTGCCATGGGACATCCAGCTTTGGGCCACAGGCAAATGATCATTGGGCCTAAAGGATGCACGAGGAAGTTGCTGTCCATACAACTTGCAGCAGTGACTTTTCAATAAGTGAATAAAGAAATACACAAGGGTGACAGAAGTGCTGGGGCCACTTAAGCTCTGCCTTTGACTGCCAAGGAATGAGGAATGGCTGCATTAAACAGGACCTGCTTCTGCTTGCAATGCAGAAATGCCTTTAAGTTGCACTTTACATACCTTGAGATGTCTTACAAATGCTAGGAGCTACTTAAATGATTCTCTTAATTCAGTAGTTTTGAGTTCAGTTTAAAAATGTACTTGATCCAGTATAACTGTAGGCTCCAAGCAAAAGGTAGTGCCACACTGTGTCTTTCCCACTCCCTGCTGTTAGACACAATCATAAAACTATGCAATCAGATACTGCCAGAGGCAAAGGAAAAATAATACACTAAGCTAAAAAAAACCCCAAAAACAAATCACCAAACTCCACCCTTCAAACCCCACAGCAGTTTCTGTTGTATCTGAGCTGTTCTGCTTTACTATGTAGTTTCACAAGCCAGTGTCATGAATGGAGCATAAAGTAAGAGCTGAGGAAGGGACAGCAGTGCAGTTTCGCTGGTAGCCTAGGGTAGGTGTAACCCTTAGATTCAAGTACTGTTATCCTCAGTAAGCCACAGCAGTGCATTAGCCCAGCTGTTGGTAGAGCCATTTACCACAGGTGCTTCTGTTTCCTTCCATCCTGAAGCCAACGGTGGGGCTGCCCTATGAGCCTTTTTCTGCTTAATGGCAAACACTTTTTTGTAAGGTTAGTTTAAAAAAAACAAAACTGACCTGTTTTAGGCTGGGGCAAATTCTTGACAGATACTTGTGATGACTATGCTTTTCCCCCCATATAGTTGCTGTGGAAACGGGCCCTTAAAGATCGTTTCAAATATGTGCGGAGACCCATTGAAGATGATGAGCAAGTCCTGAGGAACAAATGCAAGTTTGGCCACAGGAGAGGACAGAGCAGAAAATCTTCTTTTGCTGAAAATACTCTTGATGATGTCCAGGGGCAGGTAGAGGTAAGGTTTTTGGTGCTTGACTGAGTTCAGTCTTTCAGCTCCTCTGTTGACAATAAGGCCACCAGCCAGTAAAGGGGAGAACTGATCTCATCCCATTTAGACTCATTTTGTATAGAGCTTGTCATATTGCTAGATCCTTGACTTTTTTAGGTATCAACAACAGAGTTAAACCTGATACTGGATGCCTTGCAAGAATGCAAAGAGCTATTTGAGCTAGTAGCAAAAATCCTACTGTCACATTTGTTCTATAAAATCTGTTTGTGTAGATGTGTGATATACATAGGCATGTTTACAAATCTATGCATGCAGTTGCTGTGTATTTCTTTAGTTGGAGAATTCAAAGAGTTATCACTATCCAGTAAGTGTCTGAAGCATACTAACTATTTTATACACTTTCATAAATTCATTAAGGTTCCAGGTTTGCCAATACTGCACACACCTCTTTGTGCTGCAATTAAAACATGGTAAAATTGAAACAATTGTACAAATGTGATAGAGGATACGTAAGTAGATATTTATCTTTTGTTTATCCATGTTCATCCTGCTGTTTACCAGACCCTGTATTTAGGGAACAAGAGTGGTTTATTGGATGCATTTCTGCATATATTGCCCTTGTGATTGAAGATGGCTTTAGTTTCCTATACAAAATACAAATACATGTTTGCATTGGTTTTTAGGAATGTCAGTAATTCCTGTTTATTCCCTTTGGATTAATATGTTCAGGAATAAACACACCCCTTCTTGCCTGCTTTAGTTGAAAGGTTTGCAGCGTGTGTGAATTAAGAAACCTGTGACTTTGGTACAAAACAGTAAACAGTCTCACATCCAGTAAAGGAGAAATTACAAGCTCCTGGTTTTGTGTGCATGTTAAGAGTTAACCATCCTTTATCTGCTAAAGCTTGGAAAGGGCACATGTGGATCTTCTCTGTCTTATGAGCTCATTGAGAAGGGCTTTGGAGTGAACCTGTAGGGACTGCATGCTAAACTTCCTTTATCTGTAGAGAGGGTGCATTGTGCTGTGCTTCTGCAGACCAGGAATCACCACTCTCATTAATTGCATTGCCCGAGGCCATCACTGGTCACCCTTGTTTGCTTTAGAATTTAAAGACAAATATTGCATCTTATCTAAAGGCCTAGGCCTTTTTTGCTAGCCTGAATGTTGTAAGAAAATTAAGGGTTAAACTTAAAGGTGGTGAGAGGATGTTGAATATCCCTAAACAACTTTCCTTTCTTTCTCTCTCTCATTTTCCCTGTATCCTGAACATATATATATATATATATATATATATATATATATATATATAAAAAACAAATATAAATGCAAGAATCAACACTTATGGGCCCTATTAAGGATTAAGAATGTATTCCATAATTTTGAGGGAATCAAAAGTTAGTTTTAAATGTGTTTCTACATTGAAAGCAGCAATGTATGATTCTGAGATCCTAAATTATGTCACTACATAGCTGCAAAATGGAACAAACTGTTTAATATTATTTTTAACAAAAGCAGTGGGGATTTTCATTCTGTACATTTAGGAACACACGTAAAGGCACTTTCCTGCCAATCCTTTGTGAAAAATATAAACTGTTAAAGTGTCTTAGTCTAAAAAAACAAATATTTTATCTAGAAGCCAATACCACAGGCAAACCCAAATTATATTCAAATTGTTGTTAGCCAGATCCCCTTGTCTTCATCCCTTTTCCAAGACTGGAAGAATGAATCAGACTTGTGTGAACCAGAAGCCAACACATCAAAATTAAATGAGGTAAAATGGGGGGAAATGAATTTGAGGTCAAGGAGACCTTTGGAGAATAGTTAGTGAAGGATTCTTAGTCCCTTTGGGCCACCACACTCTCCTTTAGCTAGGCAGAGTAGGACATTTAGGGCATTACAGGTCAAAGCCGACTGGCAGGGCTGTGCAGATGAGGGAGCACATCTGTTCCCAGCAGATGACCTACTTACCAGTCACACGGCTGACTTTGTATCCAGCTTTAGTTTCTGAGCAGTCATAAGCTGTCAGCCTGTCATGTGTGCTTTGTGTCAGTATAGTCTTGGATTGTTAATGGCATGAAAAGATACTGATAGGAAATGTCTCACTGTTATACCTGGCATTTGTGTTTCTATGAGAAGAGTAATAAAGTTATTACTACTAATAAAACCCTTATCCAGTCTTTTACTACTTCATGTGAAAATCCAGCTGCTTCCCAGGACAATCTTCCTGTGATGTTTTGAGCCAGATGATGTCTGCCCCTTGGACTGCCCAAGCCCCTTTACCTTGCAACCAGGCATTCTTCCTTCAAAAGCAGCTCGAGCATACTCGGCAAGGTGCACTCCCATGCAGGGCATTGCTTCCAGGTGCAGCATCTGTCTTTCTCCTCCAGTTTCTTTAAAACATCTGCTAATGTGTTCCTCGGTACAGAGCATTATATTCAAACAAGCTACTTTTTTTTCTAGTGACTAGCATCATGTGAAAGGTCTTGAGCAAGTGCAGGGCAGTAGGATGATGGTAAGTGTCTTTCTCCTCCAGTTTCTTTAAAACATCTGCTAATGTGTTCCTCGTTACAGAGCATTATATTCAAACAAGATTGAAGAGTAGCTACTTTTTGTTCTAGTGACTAGCATCATGTGAAAGGTCTTGAGCAAGTGCAGGGCAGTAGGATGATGGTAAGAAAGCATAAGCACATAAACTAGAGGTATCTGTCACTAAAGGAGATTTTTATTTAAATTATGCTCCCTACAAATATCCATCAGGTTGCACTACCAGGGAAAGAAGCTTGGACTGTGCCTGACAGACATTAATTTGAGCCTCTGTGTCGGGAGGGATATTCAGAGTTTTATCAGGAAAGCCTCCATAAACAACAAATTTTATGGCTGTGTTGTGAGAATCCTTCTAAGTCATTTTCCACAGTCAGGCAAATATCTTGGAGCTGCAGTAATCCAGGGGAGAGTGTTTTGTAATGATAATGACCTTCATCTGCTGCATATGGAAGGTACTTTCCATGACAAGGGTGATCACACTGTTAAAATACATAAGAAAAGCAAGCCAGTCTCCCGTCTGCAGCAAGGGTGGGATTACTCCTAAACGAGCCATTCAGTGGCTTGTTCTGACTGGTCTCCTTACTATTTTTTTATCATCAAGCCCCCTTCCTCTGCCCTAAGGACTTGTTTGATTTATGGTCTTTCAGGCTATGAGGGAAACCACCTCTTGCCAGTTGCAATAGGAAGGGCCCTGGACTTGGGGGAGCCAGAAGAAACAGAAAGACAGGACCTTCCTGGTCCGTGGCCAAAGGATTGTCAGAAGGCAAAAGGTGATGGAGAAGGAAATGGGGTTACAGCTGATGATTGGCTTGCATGCCTTGAGGGCTTATGGCTCAAACACTATTTTAATTTTCCCAGGGGTAGTGACCAAAGAGCAAATTCTGCCTTTCAGAATTTTCAGTTTGGAAATCTTGCCAGTCTCAAGTGGTGCTGCTCATGAAATGTGTGACTTCACAATCAACTCAGTTAGCTGAATACAGAAATGAAAAATCCCCCAGATATCCTGCATGGTTTAACCTACCAATTCAGAAAGGTGTGTTTTTCCCATAGGTCCAGTATCATATTCTGTGACTCCCAGAGGCTTCTGGGATACCCTTATGATATCTCAAATGCCACTAAATAGCTGTATCTATGCAGCTGGATTAAGCTCCTTCAATCCATCCCAGACATTAAATAAGAAAATATCTCAGCAAAGGAACTACCCAAGGGTATCTTAAGCTTCCTGAAATGTAAGGGAATATAACAGGCTAGAAGACTGCTCGTAGTTCTTGATATTAAACAAAAATGGAGAGAGAGTGCAGTCCCTCTTCTAAAGCCTCTGCTGTCTTACATTTTATGACAGCCTGTTTGTGAGGTCATCAAGGTTTCTCTGAAGCTGTCATACAAATAAATTTGGAGTTAGGTGTGAAAAGAAAAAATAGGCTCTGACAAGATGTCAGCTATGATAGCAGTAGATATTTGCAGATAAATAGGAGTATTTGCCACACCCATCAGAGCCAAGAATAACAAAATGAAAGCAATTTATAAAGGGGGCACCAGCACACCATCTTCTTTCTGTGTCAGTGGGATAGAGACAAGAAATGCTTTGAGGAGAGCTTTGACTGGGAGGAGCAGAAGGATTCTGCAGAAACTTAGAAAGTTGGACATCTATTGATATTCCTGTACAGGGAAGATAAGCAGGCATTTTGAAACTCGTGAATGTGCAAATTCTGTGCCAAGAGGACTAAATGAAAAGCAGAGAAGACCCCTGACCCAGGAGGAGCACCATTTATGCTTGCTTTGGTGGTATCATGCAGTACAAGAATGGTGAAATTTACCCTGTTGGTTTTATCTGGAAACTGTCTTTTCTGATTAAAGGAGGAATCAGGACTGACTGAAGTCTACCCTGAGATGGAGTCTCTTTTATCTCAGATTAGGTAAATTAGACAAGGTAGACATTTCCTAGGGATATGCCTTTCTTTGAGGTGATAACTAACATCATGTTTGTTAATGATCTTACGCCACTGCAGGAGTCAGAAACTTGAAACAAGATTTCAAGGGCTCTAGAAAGAAGAGGATTTGGAAAATGATGGCTGGAGAAAAAGGGAGAAATGAAAAAAATAAGGCAACAGCAAGGGGAAAAGAGAGCTAAATGTCTGTAAGATTCTCAGAGGATGAACAGCTTGTGTACGAGATGCTGAAGTTCTCTTGGCGCAATCTTATGGCACTATTGGCAGGTACAGCATTAGGTACCATCTATACTGAGAATGCCATACACAAATGAAACAGGGGTGATAGCACCTTTCCCTCTAAGACTAGTGGTCTCCAAATTAAGCATTTGAATGTTTGCACAACCAGAATGTGAGCACGCATATATAAATGGTCATTTGGTGGCTGTACTGAACTGTTGTAATGTGATCTTGCCACTAAAACTTTGATGTGCGTACATCAAACTTTGAGCATGTGGTGTTGCTTA